CAAAGACAGGAGATGTGGGACAGGGTTTCCGAAGGCCAAAAATGGCTGTATTTGGTGTATAAGACGCTCCAACATTTCCACCCTCTTTTAGGATGGAAAAAAGTGCAGCTTATACTCTGAAACGTATGGTATATACCAAAAGTCAACTTTCACCTCTTAGCCTCTCTGGTCTGACCATTCTTGAGTGCCCTTACTACTAATTACCCTGTTGCTAACTTGCATGGATCATTATTCCTTGCTATCCACAATGACCTGAACTAGAATAAAGCAAAGTGCTATAATACCAAGCTTGTGCTGATAAAAAAAAACAACTAAAGAATGCTTGCACTTCTGAATCATGGCAGTTCCTTCAAACAATCTCAATTCTTAGTCACTGTCTTTTCATCTCTCTGTCATTTTATGAGATAATTTTTAATTCTTCAAACTGTAAGAGAAACTAGAGAGAAGCATTTCTATGGAGCCTAAAAAAAATCAATCGATCAATACATACACACATACATATAGCAATAGCAATAGCAATAGCAAAAGCACTTAAGACTTATATAGTGCTTCACAGTGCTTTACTGCCCTCTCTAAGAGATTTACAATATTGACCCAAACAATATGGGTTCTCATTTTACTGACCTTGGAAGGATGGAAGGCTGAGTTTGCCTACGCTTTGCTTTTAATATCAAGTTACCAATTTATTAAGTTTCTGATTATGGCTATATTACTGATAGCTATATATTTTGGGGAATGTGTTATTAGGGAACACTACGTACTAAGACTGTGCAAACTATAGAAAAAAAGGTGCTCTGAAATCAATAAGAATATATAGACAACTAGTTTTTAAATGATTTATGCAGGAACACAACATGAGCTATTATATAAATGCCAATTATTATGCTGATAGAAGTAAACATTATTTATAATGTGTGTCATTAGTAAAATACTAAGTATTTTAAAATACAAGTATATTTTGACATTTAGCCACTGGGTAAAAGAGATGCACTGATGAGTTTTAGTAAGTACTGCAATTTTGTATATAACTTATATGCAATGATCTATCTTAGAGTTAAGTATATAATATATGAACCACAAAATCCTTCTTATAGAAGCATGACAAGAAATAAAACCTTAGGCATGATACTAAGGAATTAATAAATTAGCTTTGATCCAGTTGAATGATTTATATTAATTAAGAAAACCAAATAAATGTTTTCTAAACACACGTGTGGAGAGCTGTTCCAAATCACTGAATTGACGAGGAAGCACTTGATTTGATGACAAGATTTGGCTTTCTGTTTTAAGTTGAAAATGTAACTATTGATTTCAAATGCTTCTCAATTCATTTAAAATGTACATCTGTGCATCTAGATCTATGCAAATAAGGATATAATTAATTCCTTGTGGTTTCCACTAATTTTTCAACTCAATGAATTAAGTGAATTTAATTTAAACTGATATGTTCAAGCACTAGATACACTAATAATTAAACTATGAGATGTATGTTTTGGGAGTTATTACATGATGTTTGATTTTATGGCATTAATTAAGTTAATGCCAGCACAATCAGCAACGCCCACACAGCATATTTAAATATTCTTTTCTTTCCAGTCAAATATTTGGAAAGTTCAAAATAATAATCCCATTGAACATATAATTGTGGTAACATGATCTTTTTCCTGCTTTTGTCACACAGATGTTCCAGTTTCAACTGGAAAGATCTTCTACCTAATATTTATCAGTATTTCTTTAAATACTGATTGTTTGTTTTTCAGTGGTTATATTTTACTACATTCCTATCATGTACAGTTGAAATAAGTAAATTCAATAAGTAATGTTTATTATACTTTATGGTTCACCTATAAAACAAATAATATTTCAATGATAGCATAATAAAAAAGAGGTTAATTTGATTAGTCTCCTTGGTTTTATATGAGCAGATGTTACATTCTTTTCTTCAACATGGAGGACAGCTAAATTGTTTTGATTCTATATTTATTTGTTTCTTTGTATTGAATAACTTCCTATAATTCTAATTACCTAAAGATTGCATTGTAATTTATTTAATGATCACAACTTGAGAGCAGGTAACTATGGAGTTATTAGTCTTTCTGTTTATTTAGCATTGAGTTCATTATCAATTGAAAAAAGTTAAATTAAACTAATTAATCAACAACGTATAATTTTAAAAGCATTGCTGGTAACCATTCATATAAGCCTACCAATTTAGACGAAGACTGATTTTCTTGAAACATGTTCACTTTTGTCCTGATTGTTAATCCTTTTGACACTAATCCTTTATGTGCCGGTGGGGTACTTAAAAAAATGTTGTTAGGTAACTAAAAATCATGCACTATTACAATCATAAGAATAGCCAAATTTGAATAGATTTTTTTTTTTAACAGCAAGAAGTATTGTACTGCTGTCATCCTAAGAGTGGGGCTGATACAAGCATTCTTCCAAAAATGAAAATAGTTTCTTATGGCAAGAACTGCCTTTTTTTTTTTTTTGGTTAACAGTCAATAGTATTGTTATTTAATAAGACACTGTAAATAATAGATGATGCTGTATGTTCTATATAATTTTGTATAGCTCTCTAAGGCTATAATAGTTATTACTGGACCACATTTGTTTCTGTCGGTCCTTGGAAACATTAGGGATATGTATTTTTATTGGTGGAATTAAAGCATGGATAATTATCATTATTATTTTTATTTATGTTAAGGACCACAATCATGTTTGGACTAAGAAACAGTTAGGCGGAGCCAAATGGAAAGGTTGATAAGACCACTATTTCATTCTCTTTCTGAAATATCTCCTCTCTTGCTCTTTCCGACACATTATTTCCTCTACCTTTTCCATGAAACATATTAGGTGAGGCTGATCTTATTTGAAGTCTGAATTATTTTCTTGTAGAGTGTTTTTCATGTAACATTGAGGCCCACATATGGTCCTAAGTGTAGGATACCTGCCTGTTTTAAAGGGCAATTTCATTCACTTTTTTAAAAAAAAGTATTGTGGTCAATTGATTTATATTATATGAGGTTACATTGAAAGCAAACTAAATGGGTTTTTAAGAAGAGTATATATTATCTTAAAAGTAAATAAATAACTGAATTAAATGTTCACTGTTCATACTGTCCGAGATGCTACAGTGAAATTGAATTGCAAGCAAATGCTTACTCTCTTAAAAGCTCAGCTAAAAGTGATATTTGTTACATATCAGAACACCAAAAATCTATTCCTCTTCATTCTGTAAAACTGCCAGATGATCTCTAGAATGACTAGATTAACATGGTGGGACATTTTGAAGTTCCGCAGAATGTTTAGCCTCCAAAAATGGTCTGATTTATATAAGTTTGGCTCCTACTATAAATTTATCAAGATATAAAGCTCTAAAATCTCTATGTATATGTATTACTAGCCTAGTATTCAAAGAAAACTCCAGACAGAATATTATGGCTAGCTTTAGTCATGAAAAAAATCTGTTTTTAAAACATTTTTACACTATTTCTGTCTTGAATCAAAACAACACTTGAAGAGAAGTATCCAAAAAGATAACTTTTTGACTCATTTTTCATAACATTACATAATAGCATACATGTTCAGTATGATTTAACAAAATTGATATTTGACATATTTTTTAAAAGTAGAGAACAAGAATAACTGAGGAAAATTTTATGGATCAAGATCTATATTTGAAAAACTTTTAAAATATACTAATAAAACTAACCAACAAAACATTCATTTTTCCCATATCCCAATCCAAAATTTATCCCATTTTTGTAAGCAAACAATTAATCTGCCATAATTTCACTGATAAAAGCGCTAACAATAATAACAAATTCATCATACCTGGGCATTGGATAAAAGACCATTCATAATTTTTTTCTTTAGCACAAAGATTATTGTCAATAACTATTTCAGTAGAATGAGTCCCACTAAACTTCACGGGCCCCCTTGCCGAACCTTCTACACAATGGCCTTTGCCTGTATTACTGGGATCATTGCACCATCCACATCCTGGATGTTCCAGGCACTGACTGCAAGTCCTCAACCCCGAACAGTTTTGAGCTGTAAATACACAGGATAAAAAAAAAATCAGTAAAAGTTGAGTTTGCGTAAGAGCTATGGAATAATCCAAATAGATACACTAAGAATGCAACTTAGATAAAGGAGTTCAGTTATAGAGAATTGAAACTTATTGTCATATCTAGTACGGCCTGATAAAATTTCCCACCAAACTCTGCCCTATTGTTAGCGTGCAATTAAATCAATTTTCAGATGAAAATCAAAGCACTCTTAAAGTTTCAAAATATTTGTGTTGATAATATTGGTTGATTGTTATACAACATTAGTTCTGTGAAGAAGAGTTTTTGAATTAATTCACTGGTGGTCACACGAATTTTGATGCTGGACTTTATACTTATGAATTAAACAACTTGCTTTGATTTTTATTACTTCGGGATTTTATTTTCTTCAGATAAATGCACCTGATGCTTAAAATATAAGGACACCAAGTAAAATAAAAGCTTAATATTTTGACAAGCCTAATAGATGATCAGATAATCAATACAAAACTACTGGAAACTGATACAATTATATCCTTAAAAGAAAACTGTTCACACTCCAAAACACTACTACCGAAAATTATACCATTTGCCTGTAAAACTACATGTAGAGTGAATTTACTACTTATTCCACATGAATATAAAAAGCGATATACTTTTTGATTGAATTCAATTTTTATTTGAATTGAAAAGCATAAACAAGATATTAAATAAAAGTTTATAAATATCAATATGTTAAGCAAAAGGTAACTTTTGTTACACCCCAGTTTAGCACTAGTTTATTTAGTTATTTAAAAAGGAGATAGGTAGCACTGACAGCAAGCTTTAATGTTAAAATGTCATCTATGTTATGATGTCATCAGGTAATGACATATCTAATGAAAATGACTTTAGTTGTCATTCACTTTCCCGCTCTTCCTTGAAAGACAGTATACAAATGGAAGCCTAATTATACTGCAGTTATTTATATTTATGTACAGTAGAGAATAGGAAATAAATTATTTCCATAAAATGTTGTATTTAAATATTATGATTTATACGAAAGTATATGAATATTATTATTTAATGTAATGAGAAAGTAAATGTCTTTACATTATATTTCATCTCACAGAATCTTAAACATTGTAGTTGTTTATTTATATAAATGAAAAATGAAAATATCATTATGAATCAGTAAATAGTTGGATGATATGATGATATTGTGTGTTTTGCCATTTTATTTTCTGTGAACTGCTTTGATTACTATGAACAGCAGAAAATGCTACTCTTTTCATTGAAAAGAGCTAAACGGTAACATTTACATACACTTTTGTTTCTACATAGTTTGCTCAATTTGTTCGCTTTATGATGTCTTGAAACATTGCACAAACAATTTCATAATATGGAGCAGATAGGCCATGTCTCTTAAAATTTTATTCAAGTACCTTTCTAAATTAAAATTATGGTAGTTGACCCAGAATTGTTCTAGAATTGTTCTAGCAATGCCATTATTGACATTATGAAATACCCTCCAGAACAGCAGGCACAAATTATAGCACAAACTAATATAGGATAGAACAGTGTTGTGACTCAGCAGCAGTCTTCTGTGAGTCTTTTCGGAATGCAAGATTAACGATGCAGCTGCGGCTCGTTAGTGGGGCTTTGGGGATAGAAGGTCATATGGTGTCATGCTTAATGACTGGGCAATTTGCATACAACTGTACGCATAACTGGCATTTCA